ATATGCTAGTGCTCCTGTGTTGAGTGCATATATATTTATAATGGTTATATCCTCTTGTTGGACTGAGCCCTTTATCATTATGTAATGTCCTTCTTTATCTCTTGTTACTTTCTTTGTTTTGAAGTCTATTTTGTCTGATACTAGTACCGCAACACCTGCTTTTTTCTCCCTATTGTTTGCATGAAATATCTTTTTCCATCCCTTGACTTTTAGTCTGTGCATGTCTTTGGGTTTAAGGTGAGTCTCTTCTATGCAGCATATAGATGGGTCTTGCTTTTTTATCCATTCTATTACTGTGTGTCTTTTGATTGGTGCATTCAGTCCATTTACATTTAGGGTGATTATTGAAAAATGTGTACTTATTGCCATTGCAGGCTTTAGATTTGTGGTTACCAAAGTTTCAAGGTTAGCTTCTTTACTACCTTACTGTGTAACTTAACTGGCTTATTGAGCTTTTATAAACACAGTGTGATGATTATTTCTCTCCCTTCTTATTCCTCCCTCTCCATTCTTCATATGTTGGGTGTTTTGTTCTGTGCTCTTTTTAGGAGTGCTCCCATCTAGAGCTGTCCCTAAGATACCCTGTAGCGGTGGTTTGTGGGAGGCAAATTCCCTCCACTTTTGCTTGTCTGGGAATTGTTTAATCCCTCCTTCATATTTAAAGTATAATTGTGCTGGATACAGTATCCTTGGTTCAAGGCCCTTCTGTTTCTTTGCATTAAATATATCATGCCATTCTCTTCTGGCCTGTAAGGTTTCTGTTGAGAAGTCTAATGATATCCTGATGGGTTTTCCTTTGTAGGTGACCTTTTTTCTGTCTCTGGCTGACTTTAATACTCTGTTCTTGTCCTTGATCTTTGCCATTTTAATTATTATGTGTATTGATGTTGTCCCCTTTCGGTACGTTCTTTTGGGAGTTCTGTGTGCTTCCGTTGTCTGAGCAACTATTTCCTCCCCCAGTTTAGGGAAGTTCTTAGCAATTATTTCTTCAAAGATACTTTCTATCCCTTTTTCTCTCTCTTCTCTCTCTTCTTCTTCTGGTACCCCTTTAATGCAGATATTGTTCCTTTTGGATTGGTCACACAGTTCTCTTAATATTGGTTCATTCCTGGAGATCCTTTTATCTCTCTCTGTATCAGCTTCTATGTGTTCCTGTTCTCTGGTTTCTATTCCATCAATGGCCTCTTGTACGTTATCTATTCTGCTTATAAATCCTTCCAGAGATTGTTTCATTTCTGTAATCTCCCTCCGGACGTCATCCCTTAGCTCTTGTATATTTCTCTGCAGCTCTGTTAGGATGTTTATATTTTTATTTTGAATTCTTTATCAGGGAGACTGGTTAGGTCTGTCTATCCACATCCTCTCTCAGGGGTTGTCTGAACTATTTTGCACTGGACTAAATTTTTTTGCCTTTTCATGGTCTTAGCGGTGGCTGTAGGCAGGTTGCTGGTGTGTCAGCTCCGAGAAGAAAGTGCTTTCCTGCTTGCTGGATGCCTTGCCCTTCTCCACTGCCTGTGTCAGTTACCTGTACTCCTGGAGCAGCCACTGGGTTAGTCCCCTAGGCTGCTGTGTGTGGGGTCTCCCTTAGAGCAGCATGGATCCCTGTGGAGAGTGGCAGGCATGCCAGGTGAGCTCCTCTGCAATAGTGGCGCCCCTGCCCGGCTGCTGTGCCAGCAGCAGCCTTTGGGTCTGGCCCAGGTGGTTGTGTGTCGGGCTGGGATTCTGGCCGGCTGCTGGGAGTGCAGCTGCTCCCTCTGGCACCACTGCAGGTGCCCACGGGCTTCTCCCGTGTGGACCTCTCCTGGGCTCCTCTGGCACCACTGCTGCTGGCACACACAGTCCACTCCCACGCTGTTCGGTCGCCACCGCGGCGGGCTCACACATGCTGCTCCTTGTCCCCTCTGGCACCACTGGTGCACATGGGCTCCCGGTCCCATCTCGTGCCGCCACCCCTGTCATGTGCTGCTACTCGCCCACTACTGGGCCATTGTGTCGGGGTCCACGCCAGTTGGGGGAATGACTGGCAGGCTGCTTATTGCTGTGAGGGGCTTCAGAGCTGCACTGCCACCCAGGGTTTTAGGGCACCTAAAGTTCCCCTGGATTCCCAGCTGCTGGCTAAGTGTGCCTGGACCACTTCGTCCAGCTGTGGGGTCCCTGTCTCTTTAAGACTTGCAAAAAGCACTTCCTTTTCTTTTGTCTCAGGGGCACTGGTTGTGGGAACCTGCCCGCAGGTTTTACTTTTCCGTTTCTCTAATATCCAGTACCCCATGCACCTTGTGTCTGTGGTCCGGGTGCAGACTTCTAGAGCTGGTTGTTTAGCAGTCCTGGGCTTTCACTCCCACCCCATTCTGACTCCTTTCTTCCACCCAGGTTCTGGGGTGGGGGAGCATTTGGGTCCTGCCTAGCCGCGGCTTGTATCTTACCCCCTTCATGTGATGTTGAGTTCTCGCAGATGTAGATGTATCCTGGCTGTTGTACTGCATCCATTGGTGTCTCTTTTAGGAATAGTTGTATTTATTGTATTTTCATAAATATATATGTTTTTGAGAGGAGATTTCAACTGAAATACTCATGCTGCCATCCTCCCCTCTTAGGTAGTTTTTTGAATACCAGTTCAATTTTGTTGCTGGTAATTGGTTTGTTCAGACTTTGCGCTTCTTTCTGGGTCAGCCTCAGAAGGTTGTATTTTTCTAGAAAATTGTCCATTTCTCCTAGGTTATCCAGTTTGTTGGCATATAATTTTTCATAGTATTCTCTAATAATTCTTTGTATTTTTGTGATGTCCATAGTGATTTTTTCTTTCTCATTTCTGATTCTGTTTATGTCAGTAGACTCTCTTTTTTCCTGGTAAGTCTGGTTGTGGGTTTATCTATTTTGTTTATTTTCTTGAAGAACAAGCTCTTGCTTTCATTGATTCTTTCTATTACTTAATTCTCGATTTTATTTATTTATACTCTAATCTTTATTATGTCCCTGCTTCTACTGCCTTTGGGCCTCATTTGTTCTTTTTCTAATTTCATTAGTTGTGAGTTTAGGCTGCTCATATGAGATTGTTCTTCTTTCCTGAAGTAGGCCTATATTGCAATATGCCTTCCTCTTAGCACGGCCTTTGAAGTATCCCAGATTTTTCAGTGTTGAATTATTGTTGTCATTTGTCTTCATATATTGCTTATCTCTGTTTTTATTTGGTCATTGATCCATTGGTTATTTAGGAGCATGTTGTGAAGTCTCCATGTGTTTGTGGGATTTTTCATTTTCTTTGAGTAATTTATTTCTAGTTTCATACCTTTGTGGTCTGAGAAACTGGTTGGTACAATTTCAACCTAGTTGAGTTTACTGCAGCTCTTTTTGTGGCCTAGTATATGATCTATTCTTGAAAATATTCCATGTGCACTTGAGAAGAATGTATTCTGCTGCTTTTGTGTGTCGAGTTCTGTACATGTCTGTTAGGTCCATGTGTTCTAATATGTTGTTCAGTGCCTTTGTCTCCTTACATATTTTCTGTCTGGTTCATCTGTCCTTCAGAGTGAGTGGAGTGTTGAATTCTCCTGGAATGAATGCATTGCATTCTATTTCCCCTTTTAATTATGTTAGTATTTGTTTCACATATGTAGGTGCTCCTGTGTTGGGTGCATAGATATTTATAATGGTTATATTCTGTTGTTGGACTGACCCCTTTATCATTATTTAATATCCTTCTTTTTCTCTTGTGACTTTCTTTGTTTTGAAGGTAGCAGAAGGTCAAAATATACTGATACAAGTACTGCAACTCCTGCTTTTTTCTCCCTATTAGTTGCATGAGATATCTTTTTCCATCCCTTCACTTTTAGTCTGTATATGTGTTTGGGTTTGAAGTGAGTCTGTTGTAGGCTGCTTATAGATGGGTCTTGTTTTTTGTCCATTCAGTGACTCTATGTCTTTTGTTTGGTGCATTCAGTCCATTTACAGTTAGGGTGATTATGGAAAGGTATGTACTTATTGCCATTTCAGGCTTTAGATTCATGGTTACCAAAGGTTCAAGGTTAGCTTCCTTACAATTTAAGAGTCTAACTTAACTCACTTAATATGCTATTATGAGAAAATCTAAAGGTTCTTTTTTTCCTCCTCTTTTTTCTTCATCCACCAATCTTTATATATTAGGTATCATATTCTGTACTTTTTGTCTATCCCTTGATTAACTTTGGGGATAACTAATTAAATTTTGCATTTGCTTAGTAATTAACTGTTCTGCTTTCTTTACTGTGGTTTTATTAGCTCTGGTGACAGCTATTAAACCTTAGGAACACTTCCATAAATAACAGTACCTTCAAAATATACTGTGGAGATGGGTTGTTGGAGGTAAAGTCTCTCAGCTTTGCTTATCTGGAAATTGTGTAATTCCTCCTTCAAATGTAAATGATAATCTTGCTGGATAAAGTATTCTTGGTTCAAGGTCCTTCTGTATCATTGCATTAAATACATCATGCCACTCCCTCTGGCCTGTAAGGTTTGTGTTGAGATGTCTGAGGATAGCTTGATGGGCTTTCCTTTGTATGTGATCTTATTTCTCTCTCTGGCTGCTTTTAATAGTCTGTGCTTATCTTTGACCTTTGACATTTTAATTACTGTATGTCTTGGTGTTGTCTTCCTTGGGTCCCTTGTGTTGGGAGATCTGTGCACCTCCATGGCCTGAGAGACTATATCCTTCCCCAGATTGGAGCAGTTTTCAGCAATTACCTCCTCATAGACACTTTCTATCCATTTTTCTCTCTTTTCTTCTTCTGGTAACCCTATAATGCAAATGTTGTTTCGTTTGGGTTGGTCACACTGTTCTCTCAATATTCTTTCAGTCTTAGAGATTCTTTTTTCTCTCTGTTCCTCAGCTTCTTTGTATTTCTCTTCTCTAGTTTCTATTTCACTTATCATCTCCTCCACTGCATCTAATCTGCTTTTAATACCCTCCATTGTGCTCATCAACATAGCAAGATATTACAGAATCATTAACTGTATTCTCCATCCTGTACTACCATCCCCATCAGCAACCTGTACTGTGATTGTGAATTATTGTGTCCCAGAGTCTGAGCAGAAGGCTGGGAACTGGTTAGGGAATTAGAATAAGTAAGAATCAGTCAGGCTCTTTTAATTGAGAAAGGCAGGGTCCTTAGGTACAGTGTCAGAGCAGCACTTTCAGTGGTAGCAGGAGCAACGTAAAACATTTTTCCCAGACCAAAGATTTCAAAGTGGAGTCTGCTGATCAGACACTTGGGTAGCACTTTCTGCAACCCAGAGAACCAGAGAAAATATAAGTCTCTGTTACATAGAGAGCATCAATCAAAGTTCATGATTGATGAAAAGATGTAAATGAGGAACAAAAAGCAGACAGGAGTTGAGAGAAAGAAGAGTTGCTTATCATGGGAAATTATGGAAGTGCTTCAAGGAAGAAATGGTGTTTGAAATTGGATACATTAGATTCGGACACACAGAGATGGGGTTGAGGAGAACAGCAAGGAACAGCAAGAATCTGCTGTGATCTAGTGAAGTATAGTGAATCATGTTCTCCAAAAAGATACGTTCAGGTCCTTACCCCTGGCTCCTGTGATTGTGACCTTATTTGGACAGTCTTGCACATGTAACCAAGTTAATAATCTCAAGATGAGGTCCCCATGGATTTAGGGTGGGCCCTAAATCCAATGATTGGTGTCCTAACAAGAAAAGGGAAGAGATCATAAATACAAAGATGCAGGAAAGAAGGCTATGTGAAGATGAAAGAGAGTTTGGAGTAATGCTGCCACATGCCAGGGAACACCAGGAACTACCAGAAGCTGGCAGAGACAAGATGCTCTCCTAGAGCCTCTGAAGGGAGAGTGGCCCTGCCAAATCTTGATTTTGGTTTCCTGGCCTCCAGAACAGTGACAGAACAAATTTGTTATTTTATGGCATCAATTTTGTGGGAATCTGTGGCAGCAGCTTTAGGAAACTAATACATGTGGTATGATTTTTGTGACTTCTGCCAGCAACTCTGGGCAGTCTGTGAACAGAATTGAGTGATCCAAGAGAAGGGGTGACCCAGGGTTGAGACTTGGCATGGTGATCTTGATGGAAACTCAATGGTCAAAAGAGGCTAGAGTGCTTGAATAGGTAGCAAAGGTAGTTTAATTACTTAAACTGAGGGAATTAAAGGTTATATCAAGGGCATGGACCAGATGCAGTATGAAGAAAGGGTGTGGGAAAGGTAGGAGCAAAGGAGGTGGCAGGCAGAACTGCCAGGTTCCAGCTTGTAGAAGTAGAGATATTCTTAGTGATCACAAGGCCATAGTGTGGGTGACGGAAGTGGAACAGAACTGAAGGCCTTTCATATTGAGGAAGCTGAGGAATTCTGAGGCCAGGGAATTGGGATATCAGCATGGAGGCTGAATGGAATCTCTGATGATGGTGAAAGGCAGGTTTGATGGTTAACTTTATATGCAAACTTGACTAGGCTAAGGGATGCCTAGATAGCTGGCAATAATACTATTTCTGGATGTGTCTCTGGAAGAGATTATCATTTGATTCAGCGTACTGGCAAACAAGGGTCTTCACCAATGTGTAGGCATCATCCAATCCATTGAGGGTCTGAATAAACAAAAAGGTAGCAGAAGGTCAAATTCCTGGTCTCTGCTTGAGCTGAGACATTCATCTTCTCCCGCCCGAGGACATCTTCCCTCCTAGTGCTAGGGTTTCCAGATTCAGGTCCAGACTTAAACCATTAACCCTACAGCTCCCCTTTCTCAGACCTTTGGACTTGGACTGAATTGCACCACAGAGTTTCATGGTTCTCTATCTTTAATTTTTATTTTTTGGAATAAAAACCACATTATCTTTAATATATATATTTGTACATTTGAAAACATCCACAATAAACTATGAATATTATGAGTCTTATTTTTTATTGAGGTGTAAGTGACATATAACATTATAT